GAAAAAATCGGATTTGATGCGCTTTCACCTGCAGTGTGAACGTAGCCTAAGATCATCACTAGACTCTGAACTAGTTTGTTTTGATACCAAGATCACTAACTTGTTATTGGGGTCATTGTATAAAACACAGTGTGTTACACATTCAACCACATTACACTGTCTCAATATTCACTCCCAGCAATGGTCAGACTGTGCAATGCTCAGAGAAATTACCCAAGAGCACAAGATCTCTGGAACAATGTGCTTTGGACATACGAGAGCAAAGTGGAGATGTTCGTCCATCGTGCACAGGACCACGTTTGGAGGAAACCAAACACCTCATGCACGAGCTCCTCTGCACACCAAAGTATTCTAGAGCCAAATGTTAGGCCACAGCTACTGCTGGGACCAAACTGGGTCATCAGTCAAGGTGTTCAAAAATATGAGTCAGGTATCAACCAGTCTTACTCTGTTGGATGACCTTGCAGGAGGACTTTCTTGTTAACATAGGAAGTTGTGATGTCTACGGCCATGTCCTACACATCAAACACAAAGCAGACTTTGTAATTCATGGCTTTCTTATTCACTGCACAGACACAATGTGTCAATACTGAGAATTAGAAGTGTTTCTCAGTTTGTCTCAGTATAGGAAAAGGCAGCTGGTAACTCTGTTCTGTCACTGTGAAAAGTACCGTCTGAAAGAAGAGTACTGGTGTGCCTTGGCCCTCACAGTGGAGCCGTCCAGATGCCTGAACCCAAATTGTCGTTCCTGAGGTGGAACTGTTCAAATGTGGAACAGAAGAACTCCACAGTCTTAACTCTGGGGAAGCTGAATCCAGCAGACACTGAACACAAAAACACAAAATGTTTTCTATCTCAGAAAGTATATATTATATGCAGACGTGTTGCCAGGCAGCTTTCGCTCCTACCTTCCTAATAAACTCAGGCATGGCAGTAGAGAGGTTTGTCCTGAGGAGCGTCTGAAATGATATCCAAGAGTCAAACATGTACAGTGGTGTGGAAATGTGTTTGCCCCTTCCTGACTTCATATTTGTGTATGTTTGTCACACTTAAATGTTTCAGATGATCACACAAATTTAAATATTAGATAAACATAACACAAGCAAATGCAAAGTGCAGTTTCTAAATAAAGTCTGCCTCCAATAGGACCTGCCTAGTGG